ATATAAATGCTAGACTTACCATCTTAGATAACAACTCCCAACACAGACTTAGAAGACCTCAGTAAAGTACAATGTAACCAAAATGAGAATACTGCTGGCATGAGGTCTTGCCTAAGTGTGGTGGGGACTTCAATGACTATCATGATCTTACTACAGAGACCACCTGGGAAACCTGCTGATCATACAGAGCTGTGTATTAATAAAGTTTCTGAACAAGGGAGAGCATCACCTTGATAGAGTGCTGAGTTTTCCAAATTTGCTGGCATTTTGAGTGCAGCACTTTCACAGCATCGTCTTTTAGGATTTGAAATAGCTCAACTGGAATTCCATCACATCCACTAGCTTTGTTCATCGTGATGCTTCCTAAGGCCCACCTGACTTCACATTCCAGGATGTCCAGCTCTAGGTGAATGTGAGTGATCACACCTTCATGATTATCTGGGTCGTGAAGATCTTTTTTGTACAGTTCTTCTGTGTATTCTTGCCACCTCTTCTTAATATCTTCTGCTTCTGTTAGGTCCATACCATTTCTGTCCTTTATTAAGCCCATTTTTGCATGAAATGTTCCCTTGGTATCTCTAGTTTTCTTGAAGAGATCTCTAGTCTTTCCCATTCTGTTGTTTTCCTCTATTTCTTTGCACTGATGGCTGAGGAAAGCTTTCTTATCTCTCCTTGCTATTCTTTGGAACTCTGCATTCAAATAGGTATATCTTTCCTTTTCTCCTTTGCTTTTCACTTCTCCTCTTTTCACAGCTATTTGTAAGGCCTCTTCAAACAGCCATTTTGCTTTTTTGCATTTCTTTTTCTTGGGGATGGTGTTGATCCCTGTCTCCTGTACAGTGTCACGAACCTCCGTCCATAGTTCATCAGGCACTCTATCAGATCTAGTCCCTTAAATCTATTTCTCACTTTCACTGTATAGTCATAAGGGATTTGATTTAGGTCATACCTGAATGGTCTCATGGTTTTCCCTACTTTCTTCAATTTAAGTCTGAATTTGGCAATAAGGAGTTCATGATCTGAGCCACAGTCAGCTCCCGGTCTTGTTTTTGCTGACTGTATAGAGCTTCTCCATCTTTGACTGCAAAGAATATAATCAATCTTATTTCAGTGTTGGCCATCTGGTGAGGTCCATGTGTAGAGTCTTCTCTTGTGTTGTTGGAAGAGGGTGTTTGCTGTGACTAGTGCGTTCTCTTGGCAAAACTCTATTAGCCTTTGCCCTGCTTCATTCTGTACTCCACGGCCAAATTTGCCTGTTACTCCAGGTGTTTCTTGACTTCCTACTTTTGCATTCCCGTCCCCTATAATGAAAAGGACATCTGTTTTGGGTGTTAGTTCTAGAAGGTCTTGTAGATCTTCATAGAACCGTTCAACTTCAGCTTCTTCAGCGTCACTGGTCGGGGCATAGACTTGGATTACCGTGATATTGAATGGTTTGCCTTGGAAACGAACAGAGATCATTCTGTTGTTTTTGGGATTGTATCCAAGTACTGCATTTCGGACTCTTGTTGACTATGATGGCTACTCCATTTCTTCTAAGGGATTCTTGCCCACAGTAGTAGATATAATGGTCATCTGAGTTAAATTCACCCATTACAGTCCATTTTAGTTCTCTGATTCCTAGAATGTTGACGTTCACTCTTGCCATCTCCTGTTTGACCGCTTCCAATTTGCCTTGATTCATGGACCTAACATTCCAGCTTCCTATGCAGTATTGCTCTTTATAGCATTGGACATTGCTTCTATCACCAGTCACATCCACAACTGGGTGTTGTTTTTGTTTTGGTTCCGTCCCTTCATTCTTTCTGGAGTTATTTCTCCACTGATCTCCAATAGTATATTGGGTACCTACCGACCTGGGGAGTTCCTCTTTCAGTGTCCTATCTTTTTGCCTTTTCACACTGTTCATGGGGTTCTCAAGGCAAGAATACTGAAGTGGTTTGCCATTCCCTTCTCCAGTGGACCACATTCTGTCAGACCTCTCCACCATGACCCGTGCAACCACACAGCATGGTTTAGTTTCACTGAGTTAGACAAGGCTGTGGTCCATGTGATCAGATTGGTTAGTTTTCTGTGGTTGTGGTTTCAGTCTGCCTGCCCTCTGATGCCCTCCTTCAGCACCTGCCGTCTTACTTGGGTTTCTCTTACCTTGGACGTGGGGTATCTCTTCACGGCTGCTCCAGCAAAGCGCAGCGCTGCTCCCTACCTTGGACGTGGGGTATCTCCTCACGGCCTCCGGTACTGACCTTGGACGTGGGGTATCTCCTCTCTGCTGTCACTCCTGACCTTGGACATGGGGTATCTCCTCTTGGCCGCTCCTGCGCCGTGCCCTCAAAAGGATACTTATAGGATTTTGAGGCCTGGGATTGGTCATGGGCTGGTTGTAAGGTAGTTTGTAAATGTGGTCTAGGCAGAGACTGATCACATTTTGTAAAGTAGGTGAATTGCTGAAACAGCTTCATTTTTTCTTTGGAGTAAGAGTCCATATGGATTTACCATTGTCTCTATTTGTCCATGATGTTATAGGAGTACATAGGTCTGAATGATCTTGTGTTATAACAATTTGACTTAAGATAGTTTGTGTTAAATATCATGGTTTGGTACACTTTGCTTGTTTTGCAAGTTGATATATCTATTTTCTCTCAGAAAAAAAGAGTTTGTTGGCAAGATAGCCAATTATAAGGCTTTTGAAAAAATTCAGATATATTGAATACCTGAAATTCATAGGAATGGGGAGTTGATAAGAGAGTGAATGGAAACCTAGGGTCATTGAGGAATGGAGTAAGGATTAAGGATTGAAACCTTTGGGAAGATAGTAGACTACAAAGGAAAAAAAATCAAAGGTTAAATGTTTGAAAGCTGGAAATACAATGGCACCATTGATGGTAACAGAAACAGAAAATTGAAATTTGGCATTTGGCAGATAAGAAAGTAATAAGATATGAAGATAATGGGTTAAGTTTTTTTACTTTATATTGTAGGTTTTCTTTTGCATTTTAACTATAATAAGTTTTAGGCATCATTCTAGAGATGACCAGAAGATGTCAGAAAATTAGATTCCATTTTAATGAGGAATATTGTGAATTTATTCTAGTGTATGCAACCTTATAATCTTTCGTTCAATTCTGCATATTTTCTTTGAAAATACTTCAAATGCTCTGGAAATCCCACACCTTCATTTAACTAGCTAATATTTCATTATGTCAGTTTTGCAGACAAACAGCCAGTGACCTCTAATTGTTCTATTGTTTCTGGAACTTTGTGCAGCAGAATAACAGAGAGGAACATGAATGGCAAAGAAAACGCCCTATTATCAGGGAAATCTTATTCCTTAGTTGGTGGTCAGTACCCTTTGTGAAAAAAATCTTTTCTGTCCGTTGCAACTTGTCTGATTAATGCAGTTAAAAAGCTGTAAGTCTTGGCCTTTATAAAATTATAATAAGTTCAATAACTATGTGTTAGTTAAGATCAGAAAATCAACCTATATTAGTACTGCAATAGCAGTTTTCCCAGCTCTGCCAGTGACAAAGGATACGAGTGGGTTGCAGTGTCACATGGCATCTGATTAAGTTAGATTAGTACAGGATTTGAAGGGAAGTCTCCCAGGTGACAGGGAATAAGATGATCAAAGTCTTTCTCCAGATATTTTAAGGGGACAGTTGGTTGAAAAGCTACTACTTTTCTAACATAAAGCCAAAAGTCCAGCCACATGGTATCACTAATGAGTCAGAAGGAAAGACTGAAGGGGCTTGAGGTTACTGTTTGGCAATACTGATATAGAAAGCCCTAGGTATTAACCGTATTAACAGCCTAAGTGTCTGAAATATGCAGGCTTGACTTCAGCCTCCTAAGATAATATTTCGGGTTTTATCACTTCAAAGATGTACTTTTTTTTCATTTTCTAATTTTCTGAAATCAAAGTACATCTTAAAATTGTATAAAGTTGCTTGTTGAGTGTGTGTGTGTGTGTTAAGGACCGCCTACTCTTTAGTATTTTATAATCTAGTGTAAATCTATGTTCACATTATCAACTGATTCCATCTATACTAGCATGTAGAAGTAACAATATTAAGGCAATAGGAATTAGGTCCTTTTTCAATATTTAATAAAGGACAGAGAATTGCATTTATTTCCTATTTATCTATATTAACTGAGTGTTCATTATCTCAATCCTAACAGCTGCCTTTCAAGGTAGTTATTACCACCACTGTGTATTATAAATGGGAATATTATGGCATAACATATTTGGGCAACTTGAATTTGAACCTCATCTGAATAAGGCAGACTCTTGCTACTATGCCATACTGCCTCACTAGGACATCCTAACCTAAAAGAAATTTCTTATAATATTCTTTATGACATATAATTGTAGATATTAAATCTCTAAAGGGTGATTCAGTTCAAAGTCATGGAATTGTGAGTGTGTACAGTTAAGTATTACTTGTTTAAGTTTGCTAATATAGACAAAATATCTGGCTCCTTCTCCTTCAAATAAGTTTAACTTTTTTGGTATTACTGATCCCGCTTCACAAAAGATAGCCAAAAGCTTGAAAGAAAAGATAAAATATCAGTCTCTTCAGACTTGAGAATATCATGTCAGAGTCTCTACCTTAAGTATTCTCAGTGAAAGACAGTTTTGAAAATAATAGTGAAAGAGAAAATAGAAAGTTTGTCCGGTTTGACCCAGTAAACAGCCATGGGAAAGCCACTATCTCCAGAGCACTATTTTGTCAAATTATAGCCAAAGCTGGTGTGATATTTGACCTACTATTTAGTCACTTGAATTTCTGCATGTTTTTTAATTCTGGAGAAATGTTTTTTCATTCTCCTGGTTTTCACTATTTACCAAAGATCCTTTGAGTATATATCTTTCTGATGCCAGATAATGTTGTAGGTGCTAGATATGCTAAACTCTGTTTATTAGATCTATTTTTTCCCCATTAACAATAGGCAGTATTATCCTAAGAAAATAATTTGTGGTGGTTTTTTTGGCTTTGTAGTTGCTAAATCCTGAAGATGACCTCTTACCAGGAAAGATTCGAGACAGCAATCGTTCAACCCTCTTAGCAACAATTCAGGAACATGGTTACCCCACAATCAACTTGGGAATTGTGGGAGACAAGTAAGTATTGGATTTTATTTTGAAGCTGTTACGGTACAAATACAAATTTGGGGGATACTAACTAGGTGAGATTGTTGCTAAAGAGAAAGGGATTTAATTCCATAGTTTCCACTTATTTCATTCTTCAAAAGCCAAAGATTTGTGGAGGTGTCTATTTCCTTTAGTGGTAGACATTTTTCTGGAAAGCCTTTTACAACCAGAGAAATATGTTGCTCTGCTATGGGTGTTATTCCTATTCACACTTTTACTAGTTTCAAGAAGGATAAGGAAGATACAGGCAAGATGAGTAAGAGAGAAATGTCAAAATTAGCACTAACTGATGCTTTGAACTTTAAGTACAATTATTTCCTAGGACTTTTGTGTTGATTTTTGTGTTCTTATATAACTTGAGTTTCTCCAGACTTCACCCACCTGTAAGTACAAAAGGAGGCACATTGACTATAATTACCCATCTCCAAGAGCACATTACCCCCATTTACTCAATTAACTCAGCTGTCTGCTAAATTCCCCAAGTATTTCTCTAAATCTCCAACTGTATCTCACTTGTGATCAAAATCAAGTCTGCTCTTCCTGAGCAACCCCTTCCATGCAAAATGCCACCTTTCACCAGGCACTATTTCCAGTTCACAAGAGGTGTGCCTGCCCTTAGTAACCCTCCAATGTCAGCCTGCTGGAGACAAAGGTAGGAGACAGATCTGAGTGACAGATACCCTGATGTATCTGTCACCCGTAACTGCCTCCTTCTGTCTTATCACCACCTTGTCACTAAGAAAAGCTCATTATGCCTGGCTCCTTCTTCTCTGACGATGAGTGCTTTCCCAGGGCTCAAATATGCTTTTGAAGAGGCTCTGCCCTACCATTCCACAAGCTTGTTCAGACACCTATAAACCCCAGCTTAGGCTCAAACTGGACACAGTATAGTCCAGACCTAAAACACAGCATCTTGCCAGTAACCTGAAAGGTAATAGTTTTTAATGTTAATCTCACCTTTTAAAGTTCTCTTCTTAACCTCTTGATTTTTTCTTTCTCTGAGAACACTGGAGTAAAGGCTACTAGACATATTTTCAAACATTTTTTTTAAATTCACCATTTATAATTACCTGAAAGTTTAGTGCTAGAGAAGTCCATATAGGTAAGTAAACAGCCAACTTAGAACCCATGCTGGTAAAGTCAGTACTACAGGTCACCTAGTATTAACTTGACTCGGACGCCCTAGCCCTCAGAAGGAAAAGAAAGAACCCACTGAAAAGACAAGGAGTGGGTTAAATTTGAACCTGACCAGTAACTTGTCTTTTTTTTTTTTTTAAGATTTTTAAGATAACATTTATTTCTTAAGAGTTAACATGCATAATGGGAAACCAAAAAATGCAAAAAGCAAAGTCATTCATAATCACAGGCAGTTTACCATTTGATGTGTCCTTCTAGGTTAATTTGTGCGTTGCACAACTAAACATCCATTTTTATGTAAGTATGATCATACAGTTATGTATCATGCTGTTTCACAAATTATGAATGTTTACTGTTTCAAAGTCCCAAAGCTATGAGTATTTTGATAACCAAGAATACACCACACCAACTCAATCTGGAAGGAAAAAAATATATAATCCTGCCTTTCTTGGTGACAAAAACTTCAGAAAAGACAAAAATGGCAACAGTCCTCTAGATAAAGATAATGGCAGAGTTATGATTAAAATACTACATTCCTTAATGTTCAATTAAAAGTGAGACATAAAGCAACAGCGTACACCAAGTATAATACTTCTAAGAGGGTTCATCATTATCCGATCTAAACTGTTGAAGAAATATGTTTCCTTTGAATACTTAACAATGCATCCCTGTTGTACAATCAAGAGATGCACACACATGGATGGTTATCATCAAAATATAAATATACATACATCCCTTCCTTCATACTTCCTTCTGCCCCTCTGCTGCCAGCCTAAGTGAGCAAGGCCTTATGTACATTTCTCAGAGACGGTCATATCTAAAAATTATCCTGATGCAGATACACCTTTAAAGATGACAAAAATTAATTTCTGAAAAGAAATAGGATGAATCCAAGAGTTCCAACAGCACAGAGCAGGCCTGAAGTTCTAAGAAACAAACTCACCAGATTTTGAGTTTGTTTCCTACCCACTGCTAACTCTGGCCCTGCCACCAGGTGCATTCATGAGCTCTAAGACTATCATAAGGTAAAAGGTGCTTTTTGTTTGTGTGTATCATTTTTACCTTATGCTGTTCTAGACTACAATTCTGTTCATTCTCTCCTCCTAATGTTGTACTTTTGTATTAAAAAGGAAGTAACTTGTTATATATACTGCATGTTGCATTGTGTTACTACGAAAGCCAAAACACCATTAAAAGGTTACTGTGTTGATAAGCTAATATTTGATTGTCTGGGGCTAATTGTTGACTTGCTATAGACATTTCCCAATAATTAATGTACCAATAATTTCCCAGTAATTAATTAAGAACAACAAAACTGTAAGCTAGATATAGGCAATTCTGAGAATATACAGATCTTTAGTGTATTCTTTTCTTGGACTGAATACCTTACATAAAACTGAGAACAATTTTTTAAAGTACAATTGATGCAAATCTAAATTTTCTCAGTCTTAGAGTGCTATATTGAAAAAGCCCAAAGTAAATGGTTTAAAATGCAGAGGTGGAATGTGGGAGGAAAGAATTTATAACTGTTCAAATGGAAATCTTTGCTGGGAATTTAGCAGAGGAAACAAGGTACATTTAATCTGTAGCCTGTTGATATTCTGTGAAGGTTGCCTCCCTCTTCATTCTTTTTCCTGTATAAGACATTTGCTTATGAAACAAAGGTTGTTATACAGAAGCCTTTGTGTGAAACTCTCCAGGGAAATAAGCAGAGTCTTGAGAGAAACTACCCTATGTTTAAAGCAGGGAGAGAAATAACTCAAAATGTCAGCAATCACAGAACCCTTACTCAGCTAGGCAGATAACAGTAGGGAGTAAGAGTACTATTTTTATTACTTTCAAAAGGTTTCAGTCTGGGTTTAAATTCTACATGATTAGATTTCTCAGCTCTTTTTCTTATCACCTTCCATAACTTTAACAATAAATGTTAAAATTGAAGAATAAGACTATATAAAACATTTGTTATTTGTGGTCTTTTTAATAATAGCCATTGTGACAAGTGTTAAGTGACATTTCACTGTGACTCTGATGGGTTAGTGATGTTGAGCATCTTCTCATGTGCCTATTGGCCACATGTATGAAAAAGATGAATTTTTAAACCCAGAGATGTTAATTGAACTTTCCCAGAATTATACAAGTGAGTGGCAGAGGTGGAAATGAAATCTAAATTTCTTGGAAGTAACTATCATTATGAAGAAAAGAGAATAAATATAAATATGTCAAAAGATAAGCATCATATAGGTTGGAATGGTCTGTGAGAGTTTTAAAAAGGGGAATTTTTAGCTAGAACAGAAAGGATGGGTAGGATTTGTGTAGCTAGAAAGAATGTGTTAACCAAGTAGGAAACAGGGAATGAATAGAAACAGAGAAGTGGAAATGAACAACTTAGGTCAGGACAGGCTGTTTAAAATAGGAGGTTTAGGAAGAAGGATACGTGTAAATTTGATAGAAATTTGAGGCCAAATCTTGAAAGGATTTGCAATCCAGGCAAAATTACCCAACTTGCTTAAATGTACAGCTCTTTTAAGGGCAGAATTGGCATAGTAAATCATTATTTTGGAAAGATAATCTGACCAGGTGTTATCACATGGACTAAAGTTGGAGACCTATTAGAAATAAGAACAATACAGTTTATTTCTTGTTCAGTTCAGAAGTACTGACTGTGAATCTATGCACATCATCTAAGGAGCTTATTAAAAATTCGGATTCTGATACAGCAAAACTGGAGTGGGCCAAGATTTTGCATTTCTAACAAGCTCCTAGGATATCAAGCCACTGTTCCATGGATCACAGGAAGTAAAAGGACGTAGTATATTTAATCATGTATCAGGACTTCCTTGGTGGCTCCCATAAAGAATCTGTTTGCAATGCAGGGGACAACCTGCAGTGCAGGAGATGAAGGTTCAATCCCTGGGTTGGGAAGATCCCCTGGAGAAGGAAATGGCAACCCACTCCAGTATTCTTGCCTGGGAAATACCATGGACAGAGAAGGAGCCTGGTGGGCTACAGTCCATGCAATTGTAAGAGTCAGCCACAACTTAGCAAGTAAACCATCACCACCACTACAAAGCCTCATTGAAATGGTATGTATCTATTCTATAAACACAAATAAAATGCTTGCAAAACCCAGTTATTAGATCTATCACACTCCTACATCCCTCTCTAGCAAAACACCATTTCAGCTTCTTCATTCTCCATTAGTAGTTTATCCTTTCTTGGTTTTGGCAGCATCTCTTCCTATGCTCATTTCCAAGTATAAATGTCAACCACGGCTCACCCTTGACTATCTTTCCTTCTAATTCTTTATGCTGACTCCCAAATCTGATCTCTGTCTTGAGCTATATGCCTAGATCTACCTGCTTGCTAGGTGTATTTTCTTTTTAAGTTTGATAGGCAGAGCAAACTCAACATGTCCAAACTAAATTGATTGTCCCTTCTTTCCTCTCTCACTGCCTGCCTCCACTGCCATCTTTTATTCCATGTCCTTGAGTTTTTTAACTTCTATACAGAGTACATCATGAGAAACGCTGGGCTGGATGAAGCACAAGCTGGAATCAAGATTGCTGGGAGAAATATCAATAATCTCAGATATGCAGATGACACCACCCTTATGGCAGAAAGTGAAGAAGAGCTAAAGAACCTCTTGATGAAAGTGAAAGAGGAGAGTGAAAAAAGTTGCCTTAAAACTCAACATTCAGAAAACTAAGATCATGGCATCTGGTCCCATCACTTCATGGCAAATAGATGGGGAAACAGTGGAAACAGTGGCAGACTTTATTTTGGGGGGCTCCAAAATCACTGCAGATGGTGACTGCAGCCATGAAATTAAAAGA